AATGGGACAGGCCCTGGGGTGGCCATGGCATCCCCTAGGGCTACCCTAATCCTGCCCACACTTTCAGTCCTCTATATCAGTGTTTCCCAACCATTTCCAACCCAAGGAACACTTATTTATTAAAAACAATGCTGCAGCACACCTGTTAAGGCATTCCCCATCCCCATATTCATAAGCTCATTGCCACGGCAAAATTCCACGGCACAACTGTTCAGAGGCTCGCAAACTGCGCATTCCCCACAGCCAACACATGCAGTAGACGAATTTCCTTCTGCTCGGCTGGTTCTCAGTCTCCCCCACAGCCAACACATATGCAAGTCTTCTGTGAATACCTCATTGATAAGGCTTACTCGTTAGTGCTAGTCAGCTGGAGAATTTTTTTTCTCATTATGCCAAAATTCTCACAGCACACTGGCTGAAAAACACTACTCCATATAAACCCACCCCACACCCTGATATATCTTGCCTGTCAAAACCTGATGTTCCTTTGTTAGTGATTAGGAGAGTGCCCTTAAGTCCTGGAGTGTTCTCACTGTCCTCTACTAACCAAACCAATCCTTCTGGGTCCCCGGGTCTTCAACTCCCTAACTCCACACTACTTCATTCTCTGTGAGCGTCTCGCTTTACCTCTGCTGACTGGTGCCCAGCTGGCACTGCGAGCCAGTGCTCACCACCTATGGCCCAAATGGCGCATACTGAAGCCTTGGAGCTTTTAAATGTGGCCTACTCCATCCCTATAGCCACACCCATGCTTCACAGAGGTTATTCCGTTCACAGTTTAGCTCTATTGTAGAGGCCTCAGCCCTCTTGGATTTAGCCTCCCTTTTCTTCAGCTGTAGGTTTTCAAACCTGCCCCACTAATTTGGGCCCAGCTCTCTCAGCCTCAGCCCACTCTGGGTATCTGGTCTCCAGGCCCTTCAACCTGTCTTATGCGGGGTCTCAGCCCCTTCTGGCATCCCTGACCCAGAGTAAGGCTGCTCTCAGTTCTGCCTCCTGATGTGTTAAGGCAGGGGTTGTCAACCAGGGGTATGTAGCAGCACTTCTGTTTTGCAACTGGCATGTCTGGTTTTACCAGTGCATGCAGGGGACCCCTCACCTCCCGCTCATCAACTGGCCACTGGGGGTACCTCAACCAAAAAAAGTTGAAAAGCCCTGTGTTAGGGCTTCTGTCCCACACAGCCCACTGGGTTCCCAGACCCTTGAAGGGATCTATGCTGGATGCCCCTGGAGCACCCTTGTGGCCTCCACACCGTACAGCCATATGCATTTCTCTGGTTTAAAACTAGAACAAAATTTAAAAAGCAACAAAACCCTCCCCCACCAAGCAGCTGCTTTAAATTCAAAATTGGTCCCCTCACCCCAGTCATCATACCACTGCCAAACCACTGTCTCATTCTGTGGCTCCCTCTGCCCTGGGTGGACCCGCCAGGGCCTGTAGATCTTTCTCCCCACCAGTCTAAGCTGACAGGACCTCCCGTCTCAGCAGGGTTCCAGGCACCAGGATCTCAGATTTATATCCCCTGGGCTCCTCCCCCTTTCGGTCAGGTGTGCTTTTGATTGGCTGCAGGTGTGTCCCCTCACCTTAATGGGCAACTTACTGCCTAGGCTGCAGTGTTCCCTTGCTGCCTTCCCTCCTGCAGCTAATCTCTGCTCAAGTATCTGGGGTTTTTTATGCTGTAGTTTCTCCCATAAAGTAACAGGAGCCCCTCGCTCCCTGTTACAAACATATACAAGATTAAAATATTTTTAATGTGAGGTTAACTAGATACATCAGTTCCATATCAGAATAGCACTGATATAAGGAAAATTGACAGTACTGGCAATTGGCTTTTTTTGGCTGATGTGGCTGATAATTTCGCCAATAAACGCCCTGTGCATGCGCACAGCCACAAAGCAGCACACAGGTAGCCAGAAGCACAGCCCAGCAGCATGGAGAGCAGCTGGGTCTGGCTGGTAAGTCTGTTGTGAGAG